AATTAAATGACAGAAGCAGTTAAATGCTATTATATAATCATACAGACATTTGGGGGGGGGGTTGTTTTTTGTTATTTGTCTTTTTACAGTGGTGCCAGTGAGCTTTTTCTATAAGTTTACATATGTATTTCTTCTCGTTTAAGCCCAAATAGTCATACTGGCACATTTCTTTCATTTGCTATAGCTGCATTTTTTTTCTATGATGTAGAAAAACTGAGACATACTGTTGAAATTGCATTCCTTTTTTACATTAAGATGGATTACATGTGTAGTCAACCTTATTTACACACTGATTGAAAGGACCGTTTCACTGGCCCAGCCCACTTAAGCACACTTTAAAGGTCACGAAATGTTTTCAAAACAACGTTAGATGGCACTGTAACGCTATCGTCTGTGCATGAACACAGAAGAAGAATCCTTGCGTTATGATTGGTGTAAACCATCCAATGAGCGTGAAGGAAACTGACATTTTGAACTAGACAGGCGCTTCGTTGGTTAACAAGATAAACGTTTCAGAGTTTATGCTGATATTTATTTTGTAGTATCCGTGTTTGTCTTATCAAACCAGAATCTCGTTGAGACTAAAACAGTTTCACATCTATAAACATCCGCTAAGAAGTTCGTGTTTACAGGTAAGCAGAGCTGGTTCCGTTCTTCTAACAAACGTTACAAGGTTTTAGCTTAACCTATGCTCGTTCAAGATGATCTCGTGTTCCGAGCATTACATGAATGAAATAACTATTTATCGTAAATATGACATAGTAAACAATCGGAAAGCAACGTTTTCCAACCTAAAACCGCCGTAATCTCTACGTTACAAACCAAATCTGTGTTCCTAAGCTATGATGTTGCTGTATGCGTTACCTAATCTCTAGTTTTACTGGTTTAAAATAAATTGACATGGGTTTTGTTTTTTTGGGGGGTGTAACATTAGAAACTCAGCACAAGTTGAGATTACATAGTCGTCCGTTACTGTCGGTGCTAAATTGCATTTTGATTTTGCTGTTTTAATATCTAGTTTGTATAAATAAAATAGCTGTAAAATAATTCAGCAGTGAGACATTTTCATTCAGTTGCCTACATAAGCCAATGAAGTCAAGCTCTGTTTTCTTATTTTAGGCACAGGGAGTCTGAGACAGCTGATAATATGTGTGGAGTCTGAGTATTGCCCTCTGTTTTAAATAAGAAGCCCTTCATTTATTCTGTGAGAGAAGAAGCATCACCATCCATGGCCAACAAACCAACTGGGCGAGGCTTATACATTCAGGAAAATCCAGATGCCGATGAGTGCTGTGAAAACATTCCACCCGGGGGCACTATTAAAGCTGGGACTTCTAAACTCAAATGGCCCCATGAAGAAAACAAGCCTCTTTCTGACACCTGCACCTTTTCAACCCCTGCTCCAACAGGCAGCAAGCCAAAGTCACGGATTTCTTTCCAGTCTGCTCTGACACCAATTTTAAAATACTTAAATATCGGCAACAAACCTCCAGAAAGTTCAACACATAAAAATAATCGTCGTCAGACACTTTCTCTTTTCTCCTTTGGTGCAGCCACAGCAGATTGTCAAAAATCAACAAAAGGTTCTGTCCAACAGTTAAACTCAGATCCCCCTAGTAGCTATTCTGGGCAATTATTCAGTGACATGGATGGTCCTGTGTCCTTTCTAGGTGACGAATGCTTGCCAGAAGTGACCCTATTTGATTCTATGTGTGATTCTACCATACAGCTTACTAGAAATGACTCCCCTGCTCCTGACAGCGCACCTGCAACTTCTGCAAGCACAAGCCCTAAAATAAATATTCCTGAAATTCATCCTCCTGATCTTTCACAACATATGGCAACAACAGAGATTACAGACCCAGATGTCAAAATGATTGATGCCTCTCAGAACAAGCATGCTCCGGTCCCCTGGCTGATACTTGACAAATTCTTGCCAGAAATTACTCTCCTTGATGTTACACGTGATTCACCATTATCATCAGGAGAACAGACCACCTCCATGGATGTGACTCAGGCTCTTCCTCCACTTGATTTGAAACGCGACAGGTCTTTTAATGGAATGGAAAGTGGAAAAATCGCGGCACAGCCTAGCAGTTCAGATGTCATCTCGGGCGAAAAATTGCTAAGTACAAGTGTACAATCCGACAAGTGTGTGGGGGAAAGCACAGCAAAAACCTCTTTGGATATTACTATGGGAAGTGTTTTGGAAAATAGCAAGTCTTCATCAGAGCCCAGTGAATGTAATATAGAGACGAGTCAAGCATCGGCAGGGGATACACTTGGGAAAAATCCTGCTAATGTTACTCGAGAAATAATATCTTCTAGTGACATACCTGCAGACTCTAATGTGGAGTGCAGTGCTAATCAAAAAGTTACCTCAGAGATCCGGGAAGAGCCTGTGGAGTTTTCTGATAAACCTGAAGCTATCATTAAAGACCTGATTGCCAGCCATGAAGCAAAGTCAGCCAACGAGCCCAGTGGACAAAATATGAAGATGAGCTCAACATCACCTGATGATACATTCAGCAGTCAACCAGCTAATGTTACACATGACACAACCTCGTCCAATGACACGTCAGCTCAGAGTGTAAGGTCTACATCGAATATGGAGTGTAGTAGTAGTCAAAAGGACGCCCCCTCAGAACTTGTGGAATCTTGTCACAAAGTAAACGATGAGTTGAAAAACTATGCGACACAGCCAAACCCAAAAGCATCAAACTCCGGGAATGGAACATTTAATGTCGTGCAGGCCGCTGATCTGAGCATGTCTAATGATTTAAATACTACTGCTTCAGTTTCCCACTTTCAGAATAAGACACTTGATCTTCCTCCATTTAATGTAAGCTGCACCAAAGATGGGACTTCAGGTCAGGCAGGTTTTGGCACCACTGAAACATCCCCCATCACAAATCAAAATTGCTCATCTTTAAAGGAATGTGCTCCATTTGCTGTGCAGAACGCCACCTTTGAAAAGCATTCTCTGCATAAAAGCAGTGGCAGCACAGTATTAGGGGAAGACCTCAAGAACAACACCTTTGATTCTCAACCACCTTCCAAGAAGAGCGACACAATAACTTTGTTGGAAACGGTCCAGAGTGAAAGTAGCCAAATTACTTCAAAGCCTAATAGCACAAAAACTCTGACAGAAATGAGCTCATGTGACGGTCACCAAAGTGCTTCCAAGCCAAATGGAACAATAACTTTATCAGAGGTGAACCCGAGTGACGATCACCACAATACCTCCAGGCCCAATGGCACCATAACTTTGTCAGAAACAAGCTCATGCAACATCCGCCCGGGGTCTTCAGTCAAGCCCTCCACACCTGAAGTCAGTAATCTAACCACCAGCCCAAAAGACAACAATATTGACATTGCCCCTGATCTATCAAAGCATAATGTTACGACAGATGCTAAGGACCATAGTGGCAAGGAGGTTGAAACCCATGATGACGCTTCTGGCAGTGGCAGTTGTGAGACTAAAGATCTTTCAGGTCTGCCTGTGGTGGGCGGGCTCTCCGATTCTTTAAACCGTCAAAGCTTTGGTACAGTGAACCTCAAAGCCAAGTGTTTCAATTTGGATGACACCCTGGATTTAAAGGCAGACTGTTTGATTACTTCAACACCAATGACTAAATGTACAATGATCAACTTGAACACTGAGCAAGTTGAGGGCTTACACCTAGCAGTACAGAAGAAGCTGTACACAGATGGTCCCAGGAAGCCAGCTGATCAGGTGCCATCAGACCCATCAAACCTTGTCTGTGACCGTAAAACATTCTTGAAACAGCCAGCTGCTAAATCCCTTTGCCCTCCCCCGAAAGCTGGAGCTCAGCTGATGAAATCAAAGTCACATTCCTCAATTCCAGCCAGGTTGAATACAGTGGCATCCAACTTACCTACGAAAAGACAAAGAACCCAAGCTGAAGCTTCAAGAAACACTGCTGCCACTGCCCCTGATGCACCCCAGGGGGTAGGACTTAAATGTTTGCAAAATGTTGATATTACCATCTGAGAAAATCAACACAGGTTGAACCTATTAGTTATTATTTGTTCCATTTTATTTTGTACTGATTAAAAGCTGTACATCCATGTACTTGACAGTCTGTCGTTAACGTCCTCTTTTCGTGTGTGTGTATTTAAGACCACAGGAGTAACATCCTGCTACAACCTGCGTGCTACAGCAACAGGTAGGAAGTGTATATACCTTTGTTTTTAGATAGGTTTGCATAGGTCCCAGTTTTGTTATTCCCATAATCATGTGTTTAATAACCTCAGTGTAACTATGTACTGTATCTGTGTGTTCGCACGGTGCGTCCGGGGAATCTCTGTCTTCCCCTTTGTACCAATACCAGGATCCAAGCTGCCCGCTTGTGGCTCACAAAGATCGCAGTTTAGTGGAATCCCATCAGGGATCCAGAGAGCTACTATGTGTCTTAGGCCACCTTTAACAAGAAGCAGTACAGCAATTTCTTCAAGTACCGACAAGCTCTGTGGACCTACAGGTACTCACACATTTGTCAAACTGTATCTGTACATTAGAAAGTTTCAATTTGCCCTCACTTCAGATACACAGTAAAGTTGCCTTTCTTCTGATACTCGAGGGGGGAAAAAATTGATAAAAATGCAGCTGATGCCAAACTTCTATGTGTTTTCTGGTTTAATATTGCCTTCTTGTTCTTGAGTGTAACTAGTGGTTTTACACCTCATTGTAAACTCTCTGTATTTCCATTTATAAATGGCTTCTCTTGACTGGAGGTCTTGACAATGATCCTCTACTTCCTCCAGCGTGTTGTGGACTTTGGTAGATGTTGTGAAGTTGTTTTGTTTTTAACCATGGAAATAATTCTGTGATCATCTGCTTTAGTTGTCTTCTGTGGTCTTTCAGGCTTTTTATAGAGAAGGAAATTACTGTAGAAATGTATCTGATTTTTGTGAAAGATGTGTTCATTTATCTTTCTGTAACAGTTTCTCCTTTTTGTCTACATAGCAACTAACCCTGTGACCAAGACTTCACAAGCAAAGAAGCACCCTCTAACCAGAGCTGACAGTTTGCTAGTGTCAAAGAGGAAGAAAATGGGTAAATAAATAAGAAAATCATGCTCTAGTATTGCAGCCTTTTTAACAGCTTTGTTTGGTATTTTTGGTATTTGCATGAAGCTTGAAACCTAAGTGTAAGTGTACAGTCATGTAGATTTTTCTTTTTTCCACCCTTTGCAGATGCTTCTGATCCATGCAATAGTGTCGGAGCTCCAGTATCTGCCTGTGATGCTACAAACAAAGCGACAATCCTCAAGCAGCCCAGTAAGAGAGCTTTGCCTGCCAAAGCTCAAGGAGAAGGTATGTTGGAAATTTACTGGAATTTCTGCACTTGAAACTTGTGACATGGTTTGAACTTTATCTAAGTCACAGGTATAGAACAGTACTTCACTGTGTTTTCTAAAGATAAACTAATCAGTGCAGATTTCCTGATATGCCAAAGGGTTTGTTGGCTTTTTCCACTAAATGTTGGGCAGTTGGCCAAAGTTTGATGTGATTTATGCTGCTGAACAGCTTCACGAGCGCAGTAACCTGTAGTGAACTCCTGTGGTGCTTTCATGCTTTAAGAGGCTGCAGTGCCAGCATGTATGAGTGAACCCTCAAAAGCGTGTAATGCTCCCAACAGAGCCAGGCCCCTGAAACAGCCTGGAATCAGCAATAAAGCACCACTACCTAAAACCCAAATCCACAGTAAGTTGAGAGTGCTGAGGAGACAAGTCTCAGCTGTGTAATTTCTAGTGGACTGTTGGTACTCAGAACCAATTTGGTTGTTTTGTGTTTATTAAAATCACGTGTTCATGTTGTCTGAAGGTTACTTTTACTCTGTGTTGTTATTATTATGTGTTAATTGGATTTTAATTTCATGTCATACAATTGTGAACATTAAACGACAACAACAACTAACACAAGATTGTTAAGTCCTATGTATTCATACAATGTCCCAGTATATCAATTGCTATTTAAAGACAATGGTGAAAATAATTAGCATAGACTGTAAATTGTGGGCGTTACAATTTCCCATTTGTCCTCTTTAATTAATGATGCAAACTGTTTTTCAGGTTGTGCAAAATGTGCTGAGCTTGAAGAACAACTTAAACTGATATCAGAAGAAAACACAAGGCTGAAAGAAGGTATCAGATGGCCTGTTACTGTGGTTATATGGGTCTAAATTGTAGAAATTATTAAGAAGTCAGGAGACATTACAACTTGAAGAATTTGGACTTTACTCAATCAAATCATATCATATACTCAGTATTATCAAGTGATCCTCTTTTTTTCCCTTTTTGGTTATGTTATTTATGTTACACAAGCAATCTTTTATTGTAGGAACATAATTAAGTTTTCCTCTTTTTCTCTTCTAGAGTTGCTGAAATACACTAAACAAGATGTCCCAGTGAAATCCCGGTGTTAATACTTTAAAGCATATCTGCTGTTTTTAAATGTTAATAATTACGTAAAATAATTTACTCACTAAAGTAGAAATGTTTTTTGTTTTTTTCTATTTTGCAGTGAGGATGAGATTTTGTCTGTTTGTGTGTTTAACATTACACTGTTTATTTTCATCTCTAATAAATTTAATAATATGTGTTGGTCTTTCATTTGGTTGGTCTAACACTTTGGAGAGTGCTCTGCTGGGAGGACACATTTGAACACCTTTTTTTCAGTGTTTGGAAATTTCAGTCTTTGCGATTTAGAATTACTGTACTCAAATACTGATACTCATTGTCAAGCTGCCGGGTATAAATAAAACATAAGCATATTCAACACGCATAGCTACTGGCATTCCACCACTGAAATTAAATATTGTATAATAGATTAATATTCTATTGTTAAAAATATTGAATTTCCAGTGAAACCCTGTGACTTTGGATATCTTTATCTCAGGTTATTCAACACACTGGTATATCTCCATAAATACAAGAATACTGTGTAGGCAAATATTTACCATGCACTGCGATTTAAAAGCAAGGTTTTCCAATACAATATTATATAAAGGTATAGTTGTTAAAACTTTACCCGTATGTAATGCTTACACTGTTACTTTTGTCCAGTTTTGCTGGTGTAATCCCTTTCCTCGGAAGCAGTGGTGAACCAGCTAAGGAAAAATGGAGACCAACGATTCGTTTTTTTTCTCCAAACTCCCGTGAGAACAACAGAATGGGATTTTTAAATGCACTGTTTCAGCCGCTGAGTGGCGCTGTGAGCGGAGAGCCTTCAGTGCTGCGGACTATTCACGTTGTTGATCATCAGAGTACTTCCTGTTCTGACGAAATTGCCCGGTAAGAGTGCTGCACGCATTTTCTTTTCCTTCGACAAGAAAACTGGATTTTTAAACAGCTCAAACTAAACACCGCGGAATAACTTTTACTAGGTTGTAGGTGAGTTTAATTCACTAAGTGTGCGACTTTTTTGTATTTTCGTTTATTTGCCGTGAAAGCATTCTGGGTAAGGCGTGTAAGCCCAACAGCAACTTGGTTTTCATTTCTTTTGTCGACTGTAATCCAGTCTGTTTGCTAGCATTAGGCTAATATTCTGCGGTATAGACGCATTTAAGTGTCAGCACTATAAGGCCGGTGGACGTTTTTCTGGAAAATAATTAAAACATTTAAGTTTAAAAACTGCCTATATTTAAACTGCTATAAATAACTTGTTGGTCTATAATATGTGAAACATATATCAAATGTATCACTCATGAATGATATCAAGTCATCTTGAGCGACAAACAACATTCCACTAACAAGGTAGAAGCCGCAATCAGTTTTTGGCAATGACTTTTATAAATCCTGTATTTTCGCAGTTAAAAAAAATTCTTGTTGACTTTAAAAATGCCTCTTTTAAGAGTAATCTGGCCAAGAGGACAGCTGAAATTGCAACAAATACAACAATAGTTCTGTAAACATATTTTAAGTGGACAAAAGTGACTTGATGGATTATAATGTAAGTACAATAACACAGTTATAATGATACTTGAGAAACGGGTATTTTTTTAATTTTATATATAACTCCTTTGTAATACCTGTTCACCAAAGTCTTTTTAGCAACATACCTAACTATATTACACATAAAAAATACACGGAAACATTGGAAATCAGTTTTTGGCACAACACCAGTGTTTCAGATTGACTGGTGATGGTCAAACAGATGTGTGGCAAACTTGCTTTTCAGGAGCCGCTACCGTTAAACCAGCAAAAGCATCAAACTCTGGGAATGGGACATTTAATGTCATGCAGGCCGCTAATCTGAGCATGTCTAATGATTTAAATACTACTGCTTCAGTTTCCTACTCTCAGAATAAGACACCTGATCTTCCTCCATTTATTGTAAGCTGCACCAAAGCTGGGACAGGAACTTCAGGTCAGGAAGCTTTTGGCACCACTGAAACATCCCACATCAAAATTGCTCATCTGTAAGGCAATGTGCTCCATTTGCATCCTCTGCATAAATGCAGTGGCAGTACAGTATTAGGGGAAGACCTCAAGAACAACACCTTTGATTCTCAACCACCTTCCAAGAAGAGCGACACAATAACTTTGTTGGAAACGGTCCAGAGTGAAAGTAGCCAAATTTCTTCAAAGCCTAATAGCACAAAAACTCTGACAGAAAGGAGCTAAGGTAACGGGCACCAAAGTGTTTCCAAGCCAAATGGAACAATAACTTTATCAGAGGTGAACCCAAATGACAGTCACCACAATACCTCCAGGCTGAATGGCACCATAACTTTGTCAGAAACAAGCTCATGCAACATCCGCCCGAGGTCTTCAGACAAGCCCTCCACACCTGAAGTCAGTAATCTAACCACTAGCCCTAAAGACAACAATTCTGAAGTCGTCACGATCTATCAAAGCATAATGTGACACAGATGCTAAGGACCATAGTGGCAAGGAGGTTGAAACCCATGATGATGCTTCTGGCAGTGGCAGCTGTGAGACTAAAGATCTTTCAGGTCTGCCTGTGGTGGGCGGGCTCTCCGATTCTTTAAACCGTCAAAGCTTTGGTACAGTGAACCTCAAAGCCAAGTGTTTCAATTTGGATGACACTCTGGATTTAAAGGCAGACTGTTTGATTACTTCAACACCAATGACTAAATGTACAATGTTCAACTTGAACACTAAGAAAGTTGAGGGCTTACACCTAGGAGCACAGAAGAAGCTGAGGATGCAGGACACATTGAGCGATCCACAGCTAAGGAAAAGCCTTATCTGCAGTAACTTCATTCAGCAACCTGACTTTAGATAAATTACTCTGACAACATAGTTTTTCTTTCAGATTGAATGCACCTGCTGTGGAGAGTGGTACCGCACAGTGTGTGTTGACTTTTCTTGTGCAGAGAGCGATTACAGATGTAATCTGGTTGTAGGCTATGGCAGTTGGCCACAGGTGGCAGCAGTGAGATGTTCTCCATTTGAGACTGCTCCAGCTACTATGTGATACGTCAGTGGATCCAGCTACAAAATAGAGGTCATATGTAATTTGGGGAAATTAACTTATAAATATTCTTAACTTAGAAAGTTGACATTTTAAAACGAACTCACCTAAAAACTCCAAAACACATGACACACCAACTGGCACACAAGAGTTACTCACTTTCACAAGGTCTACTTAATCACACTGACTCTATTGCTTACTAATTATTGTCTAACTGCTGTACATTTACTGTATGTCCTATCTCCTCACAAATGTTTGTTAAATTAACCAAACAGTTCTCGCTAGCTGTGCTAATCAGTTATCCCATCATTTCAAATGTTTTTCAGAGAAAACACTATGAGACTATGATAAGAGGATGTGATGTTGCAACACCAGTCAAGGATTAATGTGTAATGTTTGCTGGAGACATATTTCTTTGTTATGGAAAAAAATATTAAAGTCATTATGAACAATAGGAGTGCTAATCTAATTTTGGTACCATTTTATTTAGTTTAAAGGTTTATTTGCGAGATCCACAAGAACAAAAAACAGTGAAAGTTACAATTATATTGTGCATAAAACTATAATTCAAACGTGGTAATAGAGCCAGGTGCAGATGTGTCAGAAGTTGATCTGACTGTAGGCTATGGCACTTGGCCACAGGTGATGCTAGTTGGCTCGACTCCATTTGAGTGCACACAAAGCAAACTGCATGCTTTATTTGTGGGGCGAAAATGCTGAAATTGGAATAATAAAATGTACGAGGGGAACAACAATGAAGACAAGATTCCCCAGATCATTGATTCTTGTCCTGTAAACAACATCTGCGTGGTGACGTTTATTTGCCGTTTTCGCAGTCGCCTCGTGAGAATATCGCCTCGTGCATGAGAATATCACCAGGTAAACTCAAGACAGTTAATGTTTTATTGTTGAAGAGTAAGAAGAAGTTTAAGGTAACCACACAAATGTCAAGGACGAAATATTCAGTGTGTATTTGCTGGTTTGTTGGTAGTGGCTCCTGAAAAACAAGTTTGGCACACATCTGTTTGACAGTGAATATCTTTGTCAGCTGAATATGTGCTGGTATACCACACGTAGAATCTGGAGCTGCATCTCTGTAATACCACTCATTACTTTGTATTTCTCTACAGATTGACAGCATCCTTCAGCAATGTCTCGATTCTTTGCCAGGTCTGACAGTGAGTCAGAGGAGTCCTCATCTGACGATGAGATCACTGATAAAGCACCAGGAGCCACTTTCAAGCAGTAAGTGAAACTTGGAATAAATCTCATCACAAGCTCATCACACACATTGTTCTTCCTGTAAAGATCTGACTTGTGCACTTGGTTTTCACAGGTCGCTGCTTCTTAGCGACGATGAGGAGGACACAAAAAGAGTGGTGCGCAGCGCCAAAGATAAAAGGTTGGTGTGGTATTTTTAAAAGGTCACAACTTTAAAGTCTATACAAAATTTTGCCCCTTTTTTCTTTCTTTTGACTAAATTTATTCTTGAATCTTAGGTTTGAAGAGTTGACGAACCTCATAAAGACTATCCGCAACGCTATGAAGATTCGAGACATGTCCAAATGTCTGGAGGAGTTTGAGCAGCTTTGTCGAGCCTTCCTTAAAAGCAAGAATATAGTGGATAAAGAGGGTATTCCTCCCTTCTATATCCGCCTTCTGGCTGACTTGGAGGACTACTTGAACCAGGTTAGTAGCTTGGACAAAAAAATTAAACTGCAATTTAATAATTTAATTGTCATTGTTTTTGTCCTAATCAAATACTTAACATTATTTTTACAGCTTTGGGAGGATAAAGAGGGGAAGAAGAAGATGAACAAGAACAATGCAAAAGCTCTCAGCACCCTGCGTCAGAAGATCCGCAAGTACAACAGAGACTTTGAGTCAGAAATAGCAGCATACAAGGAGGTAAAGTCAAAGACTAAATCTTCACGTTTATTTTCTATGCATTGTATGAATCTCTGGGGGGGGGGTGTAAACTTAGGTCTCATCAGATCTGTTCTGTGGTCAAAAGACTGTGAATGTGCTGAGCAGCTTCCTTCTGGTGTTATTAAATCTGGTGTGTTAGAATTTATACGAATTTCAGCCTTAAAAAAAGCAGTTATCAGAATGTCTTGTCTCTCTCTCCCTGCTAGAATCCACAGGAGTCTGCAGATGAGGAGGAGGAGGAGGAGAAGGAGCCAGAGGACTCTGGTGAGCTGGTTGTTTATACAGGTTATGTGTAAAGGATTCAAACTGGAAAGCATAGGATTCAATAGGGGCATAGGTGAAATGTGTCTATGTGTAGTGCACATGTCAAGTCTCATCATGAGTGATCAATCATTCTTGTACATCAACCTGTAGGCTGCCAGTGAAAATGGGCTTATTAAAAAAGACTGTTGAAGGTCCAGCTCCATGATATATTATACATATATTATACAGAATCTGAAGTTTAACTGCAAAAACTAAGCTGATTTTAAAAGTTTGTTCGGTTGAAACTTTTGACTGTTTTTAATCTACTCAGAAGAAACTCCAGCAGCAGATTAATCAGTTATAACTAATGAAGTTTAGAATGTTTTACGTAAATTATGAAGTTTACTTTGTACATTATTACTTTAAAAACTCAGTTTAAGAGTTTTTTGCCCCCTTTCATTACTTCATTCTGTGCTTCAGTCAGTCACATTTTCACGTGCTGTACAAAGATTAGCTGCAAATGATGAGATGATCAATGTGTGTTGGTGCTGAGGGGAAAGGAGCCAGCATCGTCTGATATTTGTCTTTTTGGTCCACAAGGCTCGTCCTCTGACAGTGAAGGAGAGGTGTCATCAAAGTCCTTCTTGAAGAAAAAGCCTGAGGCGCCTTCAGAAGCCACCGACCGTTCTCAGACTGCCAAGGAATCTGAGGTAAGAGGTCATTTAACTAAACTACAGCAAAAGATCTGGTGGGAAAGACAAAATACTTGCACAGTTTATTTGAGAGGATGCCTGAGCTAAGATTTTGAGTTTTTCCCTTCTCTCAAAAGGATAAGTCCTCTTCTTCTGATGAAGATGATGATGATGATGATGATGATGATGATGGAGACTGGAGCCCAAGCGACTCAGACAGCAGGAGTGAAACCTCTGATAAGGAAGAAGAAAATGCCTTAAAGAGGAAGCGTCTTGTGACCTTCCTCAAAGTTAAAAGGTCTAAATACTTTGAATATCTGTTCAGACACTTTTTTAGATTTTAAGTCAAATTTTACTGCAGAGAGAGTCATGTAGAGTGAATGTGTTGTTACCAAACACTGCGTCTGTCCTCAGGTCCCAGGACACTGAAAAGCCTGGAGTCAGGAAGGATGAGAGGAAGAAGAAGCCCAAACAGAAAGAACAAATTGAGGAGGAGGCTGAGGAGGAAGGAGGCTGGGAGAAGGTTAACAGAGGAGTACCTCTGGTTAAGGTAAAGAACAGATGGTAATATAAAACTGTTTGGACTTGATGCCGGCCGGACAGAAGAATAGATGCACCGGTGCTGCTTCTTATTTTAGTTTAGCTTGTTTGTGTTTCAGTGCCGACGTGTTCATTTATAGTAATGACAGTGATAAAAATCAACATGCCATTGTCTGGCTAATTTAACAAAATCAATGACTGTAAAAAGAAAAACTTGCCTCTAAGAGTTTATTCAACACGTTGTTTGTATTTTTAATTTTAAGTTTGGTTGTTTTTTCCCCCATTGCGACCATTCAGGAGAAACCCAAAATGTTTGCTAAAGGCACCGAGATCAACACAGCGGTGGTGGTGAAGAAGCTGAATGAGATCCTGCAAGCAAGAGGCAAAAAGGGAACAGACAGGTACGACTGCATTTATCACTAAAGCTTAAAAATATATATTTTAAAAAAGTTACGTATTCACACGACTGTTGATATCCAGTCAATGTAAAACCAGGCGTGTCATGTGGAAGTATGTCCACTATATGAATTTCAGAGAAATTCTTCTCCTGAACAAATCCTGACTCCTTTTTTTCTTTTTTCTCCTCCCTCACTGACAGGGCGGCTCAAATTGAGCTATTTCATGCTCTGGCAGCCATCGCTGCAGAGAATAACTTGGGCCAAGGTATCCTGGTCAAGATCAAGTTCAACATCATTGCCTCCTTGTACGACTACAACCCCAACCTGGCAGCCTTCATGAAAGTGAGTGACACTGCTTTTAATTCTTACAGTATAAACAAAACCAAAAGGGTTCCTGTGATTTACTGTAGTGTTTCATGTTACATGAAATATCTTAAAATTGCAAGTCATCACAAAAATTATTTGTGCTGTTTAACATTTTGGATTGAAAAGAATGAGTTCCTGAGTTGTGGTTCTTCTGGCTTGTCTCCTTTTTTAGCCTGACATGTGGAAAAAGTGTCTGGATTGTATAGATGAGCTGCTGGACATTCTCTTTGAGCACAACAACATCTTCATTGGAGAGAACATCGCAGAGGACAGCGAGAATCTGGCCGTCTCCGATCAGGTGATCCCACTCATCCACCCCAAGCAATCTGTGGACTTAAAGAAAGAAAGCAGTTTAGACTAATAAAACACTCACATAGCTGTTGAACTGTCTGCATTTGTATCAACTGTCTTGTGAACTATGGGCTGGTATTAATTTCTTTGTGTGTATTTGTTAGCCTTTCAGGGTGCGCGGATGCATCTTAACCCTGGTAGAAAGGATGGATGAAGAATTTACAAAGATCATGCAGAACACTGATCCCCACTCTCAGGGTGAGTGGTGCCAAAACCTGA